GTCGTTGTGTGTGTGTGTGTGTGTGTGTGTGTGTGTGTGTGTGTGTGTGTGTGTGTGTGTGTGTGTGTGTGTGTGTGTGTGTGTGTGTGTGTGGCTCTCAACATGCCCACACTTGGAGTGATTTTCACCTCTTTTAATAATTTCCGCCTCATTCTGAAAGAAAGAAGTGAAATGTGCCAACGTGACGGCCGTCTTGGTGTGTAGTGCGAGACGGGAGATGTAGTTCATTGAGCGCTTCACACAAAGAAATGTGTAACTTCACAGTTTTACGACACATTTAAAAAAAATTGACTTGCAAAATTATCTTTTAAATTGACAAACATCATATGTGTAATTCGTGGCACAATTCAAACGGGAACAAAAGATAATCTTTCTCTCTCCATTAACTTCAATACATACTTTTTCCGAAATAAGGTCCCATAGAAGTCCCCCGGAAGGAGAGGGACTTCGCCTCTCTATGAACGAGTAACTGCATAGACAGTGAAGATTTGCAACTTTTTAGTCTTACATTTTTTTGGATCATTTGCTTCTGTTTAGGTCCCTAAATGACATATGGATTTAAGGTACAGCTCCAATAGTAGTTGGTGCAAATCCAATACCACTGTCGTAGTTTTTGGAGCAGTTTTGCCTTTTTAAAACTAGATTTTTAGGTTAGAAATTATCCAAATCATCTGTTCAGTCCTTGAACTATTGTTAACATAACAGGTGACCTTGGGGTTTAATACATTTTAGGCTAATTAAATAAGACCTGATGTTAGATGCAGCACTATTACCATCCAATCATTGTGATGTCTTGAATAGAGCACGTGAGTGGTAACAGTGGAGGAGATAGCAGTGGATCAGTTCTGTCTGAAATTGGAATCTGTTGTTGGAAAAAGGGGATCTTTTTGGTGTAAAGATAAACCTGGCAGGAACGTCTTGAATAAACTCCAGAATTCATCATGAATCAGTCTGCAGGTTTTCAGTCCTGCCAAGAAAAGAAGTCTTTAAATACTTCCAAATGTGTTCAGTTGCAGCTCCGGTGGAGAACGGAAGCTCAGAGGCCAAGATGACCACAGAGGAGGAGACGTGGGAGCAGAAGGAGGAGCCTGGAGGAGGAGGAGGAGGTGGTGGGGGAGAAGGAGGAGAAGGAGGAGAGGAAGATCTGGTACCAGGAGGAGCCTGCGAAGAGGGAGCAGCCAGGATCGAAGAAGAAGAGGAGATGATGGAGGAGGAAGAGGAGGAGATGCCGATGCCCAAAGTGGCTCCGGCCCCACCAAATGCCCCGAAGAAGGAACATGTGAACGTGGTCTTCATCGGCCACGTGGGTGAGTCAAAACTAAATATGCGTTCATCTAAAGAATATTATTTATCGTGTAATGTTCAGGTTATTTATTCTCAACCTGTAGGTGGGTTTAGGTTTGCAGTTAAAAGAAAAGGTAGCCATTGTGTTTCAAACAACATGGACAACAGGCTAATTGTTAAAAAGTGTTACGTTTATTTATATAGCATTTTCATTAAAAAACACTAGAAGAAACATGAACAATTAAACGTTTTTATATATTTGACCTGTTTCTATCTATTAGATGCTGGAAAATCAACTATCGGAGGACAGATCATGTGAGTAATTTGTAATTGATTGATTGATTGATTGATTGATTGATTGATTGATTGATTGAATAACCCTTTTTTAATGTGTGTTATAATAATTAAACACAACTAATATTCCCCTTAAATGTGATACAGTGTGCCTTTTCATTTGCCAACTGTATAGAAACCAGAGTCCAGACCTGGGCAATGAATTCAACAACAACCCAATGTTTGTTGTTGCCATTGTGTCGTGTTCCCTCTTACACAACACTGCTTTTCAGTTTTAATCCTCAGTTCCACTTTTGACCCCGTAAAGCCACAGATACAATAAATACTGCGTCACGTCCACGGCCATCTGGTCAGTCATCTTACCCTCTGTGTGTTTCCTTTCATTTTGTAGGTACTTAACTGGAATGGTGGAAAAGCGAACCCTGGAGAAATATGAAAGAGAGGCGAAAGAGAAGAACAGGGAGACATGGTGAGGAAAACAACAATATTTACTTTATTGTGTCTAAAAACAACATGGATTAAAATATATATACCTAATATTAACCAATAAGAACCCGGACCCATTTCTACTTTTGGGAAAATTAAGGGGAACATAATTTAGACTAAATAGACCATCTAGAACATGGATTAAAACATATACAGTTGCAAGAAAAAGTTTGTGAACCCTTTGGAATTACCTGGATTTCTGCATAAGTTGGTCATAAAATGGAGGAAGCCACTGCTGTCCAGAAAAAACATTGCTGCACGTTTGAAGTTTGCAAAAGAGCACCTGGATGTTCCAAAATATTCTGTGGACAGATGAAACCAAAGTTGAGTTGTTTGGAAGGAACACACAACGCTATGTGTGGAGAAAAAAAGGCACAGCACACCAACATCAAAACCTCATCCCAACTGTGAAGTATGGTGGAGGGAGCATCATGGTTTGGGGCTGCTTTGCTGCCTCAGGGCCTGGACAGATTGCCATCATCGACGGAAAAATGAATTCGAGTTGATCAAGACATTTTGCTGGAGAACTTAAGGCCATCTGTCCACCAATTGAAGCTCAACAGAAGATGGGTGATGCAACAGGACAACGACCCAAAGCACAGAAGTAAATCAACAACAGAATGGCTTCAACAGAAGAAAATAGGCCTTCTGGAGTGGCCCAGTCAGAGTCCTGACCTCAACCCAATTGAGATGCTGTGGCATGACCTCAAGAGAGCGATTCACACCAGACATCCCAAGAATATTGCTGAACTGAAACAGTTTTGTAAAGAGGAATGGTCCAAAATTCCTCCTGACCGTTGTGCAGGTCTGATATGCAACTATAGGAAACGTTTGGTTGAGGTTATTGCTGCCAAAGGAGGGTCAACCAGTTATTAAATCCAAGGGTTCACATACTTTTTCCACCCTGCACTGTGAATGTTTACATGGTGTGTTCAATAAAAACATATAATTGTTTGTGTGGTTTTAGCTTAAGCAGACTGT